CGAGATGTGGTGTGAGAAATTGTGTTACAAATATCATATTGTGTACAAATAATGCCATAAAACAAGCGTAAATTCCTTATACCGATTTCTTTATAAGGCTCTAGATTATATTATCTAGACATTTTAAATTTGTGGAAGTTCATGTGACTTTTTATTTATATATATTTTTTTATTACATTATGCTATCAATCATATTAGTTATTTTTTTTTCCTTTTTCGGCAACTACGTGAAGATTTTAAGTTCTTGAAAGACAATCACATTAATAAAAATAAAAAATAATAAAAAATAAAATATTAATTTGTTATATTAAAATAATAATATAAGTTTATAAATTTATTTAACATTTTTTTATTTCATACTAGTATTTTAAGGTTTTACCTTAAATTAATCTAATTTGATCAAAAGATAAGTAAAGTCTATATATTTAATATTTTTTTAATTTTAAAACTATTATAATGTCATTTACACACACACACACATATATATATATATATATATATATATATATATAAGGAGCGTATCAAATGAAAGTATGTCTTATTAAGAGATATGAGAGCATTAAATAATAGTTTTTAAATTATAAAAAAAATTAATAGTTGAGATTAAAACCTAATTATAAATATTCACTTAGAAGATCATTACTTCTTTTGTCTTCACGATTAACACCATCACCATCATTTACCATTGTCATTGTCACCACCAACATTATAATCGTTAAGTGCTAGTGACAATGGTGGTGGTAACACTGGTATGGTGGTGTTGTCACCAACACCATTATAGTTATTATCACCTTTGTCATTATCACCAATATTGTTGTCATCATCACATGGTAACACTAAAATTAGTGATAGTGGCAACGACAATGGTGACAACGACAACAGTGACGACGATTGTAACATCCTATATTTTTAGTAATGAAATAAAATAAGTAGTTTTTAATAAAAAAATATATACTATAAGTTTAATTAATTTAATTAATTGGGTTTATAATATAAGTAATCATTTTTATTAAATTGAATAAAAGAAAAAAAAATGGTGTGGATTGAAAGAAGAATTTAGGTTGGAGTTTGAGTCCAAATAGAAAACTTATTAAAACCAAAAACAAGAGATTAGGTTTTCTTTATGCATCTTCTGAAACCCTAAGAGCACTTACAGAGAACCTAAAAGAGGCCACCACATAGAGTATAAAGTTGTGACTAAAGTTATGGAGAACACGCTTGTATTGCAAAATTTTCACTTGAGGTAAAAAGGGAATGAAAAGTTGAATTTTTGGGCATGTATAAAGGGTAGGGTAAGTGAGGCAATTCCTAAACCTCTTAGGTTTCTTATTGAAATTTTATAAATGCTTATGAATGAATTCTAATGTTGAAATGTGATTTTGCCTTGTAATTTTGTCCATGACCTCTAGGTGAATAAATATAGTGATGTAATTATGTATTTTGAGGGTTATGGTTATATGCATAAAATTGGAGATTTTGACTTAATTAGATGAATCTAAGTTAATTGATGATCCTACATTGTTTTGGATGTGGTATAATGTCATTTGACCTATTGAAGTGAGAAAAGGAATGAATTAATGAGTTTTGAAGGGTTTTGTAGACCCTACTTTACAAAGCTTGCGATTCTACAAGATATAGATCATACGATAGTACCAAGTGTGCCTTCATAGCATTAGGTACAAGAGTGCAATTTTTTGCATTAGGCATGAAAAGGAGTCACGCCAAGCACGAAGATACAAAAGAGGTCTTTGAATTTTCAATGTTGGGTGATAGGTCTATTGCTTGGTTCCATTAGATATCATTTAGGGAGAATTTTTTGTCATTGGGGGTGACCTGAATCATGTTAGGTGATGTGGTTCTAAAAGGGTCTCTGACTCCTCAATGTTGGGCATGGGGAGATCCGCGCCAAGTGCAAATAGATAGAGAGGTCTCTAGCCTTTCCATGCTGTGTGTGGTTACTACCACACCAAAAGTGAATTTGATAGAGAAATCCTTGATCTCTCCACATTGAGCGCGGGTGATGTGAGAAAACTGCAAGTGTATAGTTGTCGTCAAGTAATAATTTATAAATCCATAGGGATTACATGTTTGACCTTGTAATTATTAGTATGTAGTTAAATTTAAACAAATGAAAATAAAAAGAATAATTAAAGATTAAGTTGAGAGTAATTTTAAGATTGATTGTAAATAAAAACTTTAGAAGTCAAAAACCATGGTCTTAGTTGTAAGAGAAATTTCTAGGAATAAGGGTTTGTTCAACAAGTTCCTATATGTTCAAATGTAATTACTAAGATATTTACTTGTTTCCATTTAAAGATAAATTAACTTAAGGTATCATTTGCTCTCTCTCAAGATACAAATGTGTGTTTAATTAAATTAACCCCTACTCTCGTTATATCTTTGTTCAATTAAACTCATTACAATTTATGTTAATTTAGTTGATCCTCAAAGGACTAAACCTACTCTTATGGTTTAAAACCTAAGTCTATTTCTTTAGGTTCCAATATTTAGGTTTACCTCTTAGTACCTCCCTAAATATCTAAAACTATGAAAAATGATGGTTAATTGTTTAACATATATAATTTGTAAAGAAATCAAATCAAAAAGAGAATAAGAATTAAGTAACTGAATAATTCATAATAGCATAGAGATTCTTAAAGGCTAAGCGTTGATCCCAAAAAAAGAGAGAATACTCACATATGTTCATAGTAGTTCTCCCAAAAAGAAAAGAAAGATAACATAAAAAAATGAACCTAAGAATTGGAGAAATACCAACACCAATTACTCCTCTTCAATCTACCTATCAAGTGTGAAATTAAAAGTGTCCCTTCCTAACCTCACTAGTCTAATTTTAATGATAAGATAAAATAAAACAATTTAAAAGATAAGCTTTAACATCAGGATTGTGTCACGGGTGTGATCGATAAGTCACAACCATGACACGTTTGGCTTTTAAAAGATTTTTTTCTTCATCAGGTCAGTCACAAGCGAGACAAGTGAGTCACGATTATGATCTTCTCTATGTTGATTTTACTTATGATCCTCTAGTCTATCACGGGCGTGACTCATGAGTCAAAGCTATGATCCTTTTTGTACTAATTCTACTTGAGTGTTCCACGAGTGTGACTCATGAGTCATGATCCTAATCCTTTTAGGCTTGTGTTTTCTTATCCTTTATTCCTTGGTCTTCTAAGAGCAATCATGTCTTCACCTACTATATGCAAATAACAAAACAAAACAAAAACGTAACAAGCATAAAAAAGAAAAGCTAGATTTAAAATCATTTCCTAAGGTAACTATGTTATATTATGTATGAATGTAGTTCTATTTAGTTAAAAAGTTAAGACTAAAACATGATAAAAATGTAGAACATCACTAGGCACCACGACATTATCAAAATTAACAATGTTTCTAAATAATTTAATAATGAAGGAGCTTGTGAGGAGTGATTAGCATTAGAATTAAAAGAATGATTAATAAAGTTAGTATTTTTGATAAGTCAAGAGTGTAAAGAATGATGTAGGAAAGGGTTACATGTGTATGAGTTTATAGTATGATGTGTTGCGAATAATTGATATGATGTTATACGTATGATGAATGTATGCTGACGATGTTATGGTGAGAATGTTATGATAATGATGCGATGATGGAATCATGCCAAGGAAGTCAAGAGGTGACACATTGAAGGACCCAAGAGGAATGGACTATACATGAAGATATGGGCTAGTTTAGATCGTGATGGGCTTGGAAGGCCCAAGCTGCTCCTCACACGGGCCACATCCTGAGATCTCCATTTTCCTTTATTTGTATATATTATATTAGTATAGATTTCATATATTTTGGTCTTGTATTTTGGACCACATGGATTAGGATTTTTAGACCATAGACTTATTGGGTCTGTTTTTGGGCTTAATGGACCTTGGGTATTTTGGCACCCAATATTGGGCTCATTTTGCTTCTTTTATTATTTCCTATTATTTCTATTTGATTGACCAATGTATTTAGGCCCTTAGATTAGGAAATTAGAAGGATTACTAAAGTAGGCAAGATTAGTTAAATCTAGGTTTCATTTAGAAGCAATTTAAGTTGAATTTGGGTCATATGTTTTAAGCAAAGTGTGGCTGCACATGTGACACCCCCAAATCCACCATAAATGCTTGCTAAATGTAATTTAGATGCATGGTAGCTCCTAGAATCACGGTGAAGCACATGGTGGTCGAGAATTTGAATTCAAATACCATTTGAAATTCAAATTCTTGGCGCCAAATGTTTAGCTTGTGATTGGCGCCAACCTAGTTAGCCTCCACACCTATTTAAGTCTTGATCCTTCATACTTGTAATCATTTTGACTATATTGATATTTCTGATCATTTTGCTTCAGCAAAACTCTCTCTCAAAGTCACTTACATGCCTAGCTTTTAGGGAACCTAGAAGCCTTCTAGGTTTAGCACCTTCTGAGCAATCCTTTGCTCCTTTGGCCTTGGTGCGTCCTCTTATTCATTTATGCATTTCCACTTCTTCTTCTGGATCTTGAATAGATTTTACTGAAGGAAAAGATCAAGTCATTAGAACAAAGTCAAGAGAAGACACCCATTCACTTTACCTAGTCTTGCCATCAATACCTTAAAATATGATGAATGAATAAGACGAATTTTGGTAAAAATCAATATATTTAAGAGAGGTTTTTAATATAATCAATTATGAATATTTTTATTAATTTAATTTTATGAATAATTATTCTTACGTAAAAAAAATTTAAAAAAAGTTATGGATCTTACAAAAATTATATAAATATTGATGTTAAATGGTTTTTAAGGAGCTTAAAACAGAAACTTCATTAACCATATGTGTGAACCGGCCGATCACTTTTAACTAATTAATCAAACAAATAGATGTTATTAATATTAAATTCAGTAAAGCTAATATTAATAATTGAAGGCAGGTAAGACGACGTATTTAGTATTTACTGTGTTAAGTGTTGACAAAGAGTGAGCACTGTTAAACACATATAGACGCAACACTAATCATGGAAAGAAACTGCGGCTATCTCACTTCACACATCTATAAATGTACGCCAATCCATACAATACTTTTGCCTTGCGAATATCTTTTATTAATTTCTTTCAAACTCCATCAATAAGGAATAAGGTGAGATATATATAATTCATTCATATAATTACTTAAATTATTATAAACTACATGCACTTTGTGAACGTATTATTAAGGCCTTCAAAATGAATTAATTAGATGCAAGTTGTTGTGCAGAGTGAAAGTTAAGAGTTGGAGAGAGATGAACTCCTCATCGGGTGGTCTCAAGCATGAAGAAGAGGAGAAATTAGAAATAGAAAAAGAGGTGGAGAGTCAGGTGGTGGAGTGGAAGAGAAACCAGCCATGGAAAGAGCAAATAACAGTGAGAGGATTGGTGGTGAGCATAGTAATTGGAACCATGTACAGCATAATAGCCATGAAATTGAATCTCTCAGCAGGACTCGTTACT